GCCGCTTGGGGCGGCGGAAGAAACACAGATGTCGGCGGCGCGGCGCCATTCGGGGCCCTGAGCAGGCAGCCAGCAGCCCTGTCCTCACCGCGGTCCGCGCCGCGGCGCTAAATACCCGGATGCGCCGGCTGCTGCCTGGAGAGCCAGACACAGCGCGGGAGGCGGAGAGGAGGCAGAGCTGAGCCTGCTGGGGGGGACCGAGACCCGCAGACGGCGGGAGGGGCGGCCACTCACAGCCTGACAGACACAGAGGCACAGACCAGGCCCACGAGGGACAGAACCACAGAGAGGCACCTGGGCCCACCACCGCCAGGAGGGGACGCCGGTTGCAAGGGGGCGAACCCGTCTGCCCGTTGCAAGGAGAAACCCTCCGCCCGGTGCCCATCTCGCAGGCCGGCCTTCCGCACGGCCACTGGGACGAAGCACCGCACGTGGCGAGAGCATCTGGGGGGCAGCAAGGCGGCTTGAGGACCCTGTGCACAGGGCTCTTCTGATTCCCTTGGCCCAGAGGGAAAGCAAAAGATGACGGAGAATTCCGCCTCAGCCCCTGCCGCCAAGCCCAAACGGGCCAAGGCGGCCAAGAAGTCAACAGATCACCCCAAGTACTCTGACATGATAGTGGCCGCCATTCAAGCTGAAAAGAGCCGGGCCGGCTCTTCTCGCCAGTCCATCCAGAAATATATTAAGAGCCACTACAAAGTGGGAGAGAATGCTGACTCCCAAATCAAGTTGGCCATCAAGAGGCTGGTCACCACTGGTGTCCTCAAGCAGACCAAAGGGGTTGGTGCATCTGGCTCTTTCCGCCTGGCCAAGGGTGATGAACCGAAGAAGCCACCCCCAGCTAAGAAGGCCAAGAAGGAAGTCAAGAAGGCCACGACGCCCAGGAAAGCAGCTAAACCCAAGAAAGCTGCCACCAAGTCCCCAGCCAAGAAGCCCAAAGCTGCCGCCAAGAAAGCCAAAAAGAAGCCAGCAGCCGCTCCAAAGAAAGCCAAGAAGCCAAAGACTGTCAAGGCCAAGCCAGTGAAGGCATCGAAGCCTAAAAAGGCAAAGCCATCGAAACCCAAAGCAAAGTCCAGTGCGAAGAAATCAGCCAAGAAGAAGTGAAGTGCAAGCCTGGGATCTTCTTTCTTGGACACTCTTCTTCACCTCTACTTCTGTAAATAGTTTTCTCCTTTATTCTCTTCTCTCTTTCTATTGCAACTTTATAAAAGACTGGACTATTATTTCCCTGAAATAGTTAAAATAATTCAATTACTAAAAAAAACAACAATGCAGTGCTGAGACTTGTCTTATAAGTGTTATTGGTTGGGTTTTTTTTCTTTGTAATATTAGAGCTCTCTATATTTTTTAATGTATGAAATACTTATCTGTGTTTTGGGAGCGGGGGGAATCCATGTTGGATAAAAGGGAATTGAGTTCCCCAGTCTCCTAACAGCTCCAGGGTATCATACAGGTAAATTGGCTGTGCATGGAACTTGCCCATGCCAGAGTATGGGGACAAAGATCCCTAAATGAAGGGGGTCTGAGAAAAATAATTATGCTGGAAGATCATGACCACATGGGATAAATTGCTGTAGCATAAATTACATTTTCTTTAACCTCAGTCTGATGGTTCAGCATTTCCTATATATATATATACTAATGACAGGGAGATCAGCTCATGATGCATGTGGTGTGTCTTCCCCACCCAGTGAGAGGAATGGACTGGAGTTGGTAATCTGTCCACCTACTTTGTTCTTTTGGGAGGAGGTTGCCATTTAACTGAGAGGCTTTAAATGGGAATCAGTGGAGATTTCCTGGTGGGATTTGCAAAGTGGATTTTTCCTAAAAAGGATGGATTTGCAGAAAATCGTGGGTGATGGCATTGAAGTGGAAACAGAGGGGTGAGATCTAATTCCCCCACCCCCTCAAAAGAAATGAGAGAAAAAAGAGGTTCTGCTTCCAACTGCATGTGAAGCATCGTCCTAATCCCTTCAGAGTCTAATATCTTGTGGATTAAGAGAAGGGGTTAAGAAAACCATCCCTTCACCACTTACTGTTATGCTGGGTTCTCTGAGTGCTTTCCAACTCTGCAGCGCCCACTTCCTGATCCATAGCTTTGGTATGTAGCCATACATCTACAATAGAAAGGGCACCCGACCGACAGTTTCTTTGGGTGTAGATTTTTTTTGATTGGTTGGGGAGGGGGAGGGAGAAATGTAACCGATACTGAATCTGTCAAAAGATGCTTTATGGAACTGGAGCTGTGTACTATTATTGCTTCAGATGGGGGTGGGGGGGGAGTTGGGGAGGGTGGTTGGGAGGGCAGTGGGGAGGGGATATTTCCAATAAAAACAAAAAAGTATATTTGGTGGGTTTGCTGTTTAAAACCAAGTGAAAATCTCAGGATTGACGCTTGTTCATTTTATTTTGTAAGTGTAATTTGTGCAGGAAATAATTTGCTGTCTTTGTAATTTTAGAGTTTAAAACAACAACAGCAAATAAATAGAGGAAGGTTGAAATTTCCCTCATTCACTGTCTTCTTTGTATTCTTTAGTATTTAAAAATACACAAGCTGGAGAGGGGAACACGGGGAGAAAGGGTTATGCGTGTGCACACATGGTTGGCTGGTAAGGTGTGATTACTCTTCCAACTTGTAAAAACACTGATAGCTCTCTGGTATGTAAGAAGGTGCTGAAGGGATAAGGAAAGTTTGCTGGTGCCTGAACTATAGATAAACCCTAGACCTAGAGCATGGGGTGTCACACAGGGTCGGAACAATTGAAAGATTGGGAGGGAAAGCTTCCTTCAGTAAAAGGAAGTGGTGATGAGGGGCATTTCACAAGCATAATGCCACCTGGCTTCTAGGTTGACAGACTGGGTATCCAAGCTAGAATACCCTGAGCACAGAAAGTGTCCAAATCACCTTCCATCTTTCCTGATTTGTCAAATGGACTCTGCCACTGAAATATTGTCAGTGTACTAAAAGAATCTTTTACTGCATCCCAGCTGGCGGTGGAAAAGCAGATTGTGAGGCCACTGCTCAGGCGCTCTGTTTCTGGGGAACATTTGTACAATTTTGCCGATGCTTTTCTGTCCTGACCTGTGCTAGCCTTTGCTATTCCAAATCTTGGCTAGAGTGGCAGATTTAACAGTAAGAAGGGTCAGCAAATGCTGACTGCCTCCCCCCAGTCTGGGTCCCCCATCTCCCTCTTCCCATTTGCCAGTAGCAGAGAAGCAAAAAGATGGGCCCCGGTCCAGGTTTAGATTGTGGTCCCCCACATGCCATCACATGTCCCACATTAATTAAAATAAACTCTCACCTCACCCACCCCTGCAGTCATCTCTGCCTCTCCTCCCCCGTTCCCCTCCTCCCCAGCTCCATGCTTTGCCATCTGCTCTCTCTGGCCTGGACTGTGCACCAGTTCTGCTGCCTCCTAGAGCAAGGACCACTGCTCCCACCAAAGCCAGAACTGCTGTCGTAGAAGCCAGAGCCATGAATCACTACTGCTGCCACCAGAGTTGGAGTCAGAGCTGCTAGGAAGAGCAGCCTTGCTGGTTGCTGCTGCCCACATTTGAATTTGCCTGGTCAGTTGGAGGGGAGGAGGGACCTCCGACCATTGGTGGTACCTGCTAATCAGAATTCATGGCACAGCCACCATTTTGGAGGCCTCCCTCCCCAGGCAAATTCAAACGTGGGCAGTGGGGACCAGCAGGCTGCAAACAATGGCAGCAGCGTATATGTTGTGTGGCTGAGCAGTGCTGAGCCTGCAGGGGTCCTCCAAGTGCATATGTAACCCACATATCTTCTGGGTGTGGTGTTTTGTCCCCTCTAGTGGCACTGAGACCACTTAAAGAGAGTGATAAAATGGGTCTGTTCATGCTGTAGTGTAGAGGTTCATGCACTAAGCTCCAGAGGTCCCAGGTTCAATCCTGTCCGCTGACGACTGGGGTCTATTGGCGTTCCACATGGACCCTGAGCAGCTGCACCACCTGTTCCTCTGCCATCTGCCCCCTCCCACTCGATTCTAGGGCCCCACTCTCATAAGTAACTTAGTCAGTCACCATGGCAAGGGGGCAGGGGTCCTCTTGCTGCTTCAGGGCAACTGCATGAGTTGCATGTGTCTACACTCTAACATCTCACCTGGCCATCAGCCCTGGGGTCCCACTCACCAACCTGTCCTGCTCTGCCTTTGCAAACTTCCCACAGCATTTGAGCATGCCCAGCAGTGGCCGGGAGTAAAAGGAATTTCCTACCCTATCCAGAGTGGTAGCCGTGTTAGTCTGTATCACCAAAAAGAATGAGGAATACTTGGGGCACCTTAGAGACTAACAGATTTATTTGGGCATAAGCTTTCTTGGGCTAAAACCCACTTCATCGGATGCATGCAGTGGATAATACAGTCGGAAGATATATATATACACAGAGAACATGAAAAGACTGGGAGTGGATGGGTCATTACACAAAACATCTACCAATGTGATATATGCCATCATGTGCCAGCAATGACCCTCTGTCATGTACATTGGCCAAACCGGACAGTCTCTATGCAAAAGAATAAATGGACACAAATCAGACGTCAAGAATTATAACATTCAAAGACCAGTCGGAGAACACTTCAACCTCCCTGGTCACTCGATTACAGACTTCAAAGTTGCAAAACTTCAAAAACGGACTCCAATGAGAAACTGCAGAATTGGAATTAATTTGCAAACTGGACACCATTAAATTAAGCTTGAATAAAGACTGGGAGTGGATGGGTCATTACGCAAAGTAAAAACTATTTCCCCATGCTAAGTTCCCATACACACACACACACCTTCTTGTCAACTGTTTGAAATGGGCCATCCTGATTATCACTAAAAAATTTTTTTCTCCTGCTGATAATAGCCCACCTTAATTGATTAGTCTCATTATAGTTGGCATGGCAACGCCCATTTTTTTCATGTCCTCTGTGTGTATATATATTTTCCTACTGTATTTTCCATTGCATGCATCCGATTAAATGGGTTTTAGCCTACAAAAGCTTATGCCCAAATAAATTTGTTAGTCTTTAAGGTGCCACAAGTACTCATTCTTTCTACCCTATCCAACAGGGGTTGCAGCTACTGGGCATGCTCCAGTGATGAAGGGGCTGCTGCTGGGAAATGTAGTTTATTTCCATAGCCTCCTCTTGCTGTGGGACACTGAGAGGCATGTGTGTCTGTCTGCCTGTTCCAGACTCTCCCACAGCACTCTCCGCAGCCATTCCGCAGTCTAGTTCTGCCTGTCACTGCTAAATTCTGCAGAGACAATCAACATTTTTTTAGGACTACCCTCTCAACTGAAGGATAAAATAAGAAGCACAAAAATACACTCTATTTAGACCTAGACTTCCAACTTAGTTATTCTCATGCTGGAAGATGTCTGAAAATGAAAACCATAAACACATACAAGTCTGGTTTTAGAAAGCAAAAAGACATTTATTACAAACTGCCTCCGGAGATCCTAAGCAGCAGAAACGATCATTCTTCTTCGAGTACAGTACTTGCTCATGTCGATTACATGTTATCTGTGTGTGCGCCGCGTGCCCTGCTGCCCGACATTTTCCTGCTAGTTGTATCCATAGGGCCGACCCTAGCATCCCCTGGTGGCCTGTACTCATGCACCAGTATAAGGGTTGCTGCTAACCCCGCATTCCTCCAGTTCCTTCTTACTGCCAGTGACGGTTGCTGGAACAGTCCTCTTCTCTTGCTTCGACAAGCCTCCCCTAGTGGTTTACAGATCTCTTCTTGTAAATAGTTAGTAGTTGTCAGTTCTAGTTCTTGTTAGTTAGCTAGTCCCCTTAATGGACGTCGATCCCAGGATGGGGCATGCCCTGATCCTCAGGCTTCAAACCATATGCAGCTTATACTGAACCCATGCCAGTGCTGGTGAGCAACCCCCATTCCAGCTGCCAAAAGTGCTTGGGGGAGGCTCACGTCCAAGATAAGTGCAGGATCTGCAGGGGCTTCTGGCTGCATACCCCAAAGTACCGTTTTCTTCAAAGATAAGGTCTGGCTGCTTCCGCACCCAGCCTTTCTATCCAACATGGTGTTGCAATTTCACATCAACCAAGACATCTTTCTGCTGGTCTTCTTCCAAAAACCTCACAAGACAGAAGAACAGCGTCTGCATTCTCTGGACATTAGAAGGGCCTTAGCCTTTTATATTGACAGGACAAGACCCTTCCGCAAATCGACGCAGCTTTTTGTTGCGATAGCAGACAGAATGAAAGGGCTCCAGGTGTCAGCCCAGAGGAACTCGTCCTAGATCACGGCCTGTATCCGGGCCTGCTACAAGCAAGTGGGGACCCTACCTCCAGCCATTGTAAGGGCCCACTCAACAAGAACACAAGCATCTTCAGTGGCTTTCCTGGCACAAATACCAATACAGGACTTTGTCAGGGCCGTGACATGGTCATCAGAGCACACGTTTGCATCTCACTACGCCATTATCCAACAGGCCAGAGCCAATGCCAGTTTCAGGAGAGCTGTGTTATAGTCAGCATGCCCCTGAACTCCTAGCCCACCTCCAGAGATGCTGCTGGTGAGTCACCTAACATGGAATCGACATGAGCAAGCACTCGAAGAAGAAAAAATGGCTACCTACCTTTTTGTTGCTCACGTCCATTCCATGACCCACTCTCCTTCCTCACTGTCTGAGTGGACAGCGAGAAGAAACTGGAGGGGTGCGGGGCATAGGCGCCGACTTCTATGGGGGCCGGTGGGTGCTCGACTCCCTTCTGTCCCTGGCCCTGCCCTGACTCCATCCCTGTCCCACCCCATTCCAACCCCTTCCCAAAGTCCCCGCCCCAACTCCGCCCCCTTCCTGCCCCTATTCCGACTCCTTTCCCAAATCCCCACCCTGTCCCTCTCTTCCCCGCCTCCTCCCCTGAGCGCGCCACGGTCCCGCTCCTCCCCCGTCCCTCCCAGAGCTTGCTACAGCTGTTTGGCGGCGGCAAGCACTGGGAGGTAGGCAGAGGAGCGGGGACACGGCATGCTCAGGGGAGGAGGTGGAGGCCAGGGCTGCCCAGAGGGGGGGGCAAGTGGGGCAATTTGCCCCAGGCCCCACAGGGGCCCCCACGAGAGTTTTCAGGGCCCCCCACGAGAGTTTTTGGCAGCAATTCGGCGGCGGGTCCTTCACTTGCTCCGGGACCCGCCGCCGAAGACCCCAGGCCCCCTGAATCCTCTGGGCGGCCCTGGTGGAGGCAGAGGAGGAGGTGAGGCGGGGCGGGGAGTTTGGCTGCTGGTGGGTGCAGAGCACCCACTAATTTTTCCCCATGGGTGCTTCAGCCCCGGAACACCCACGGAGTCGGCGCCTATGGTGCGGGGCCGGTGGCGCCCCTTATACTGACGCATGAGCATGGAGCTTTAGGGAACACTAGAGCCAGCCCTATGGATACCATTAGGGGAAAAATCTCCAGCAGCGGTGCATGCGGCGCATGCACACCTAACATGGAATTGACATGAGAAGCACATCTAGAAGAACAACAGATATAGGGTGACCAGA